TTGAAATCGTTGGGGCAGTGAAAGCTTAGGGAGAAGTCCTAGTATATGGATGGAAAGATATAAAAACCAAAACGAAAAGTAGATTAACGAGCTTCACAATATGACAATCACAAACGAAAAATGAACGTTGCGGCTAAATAGCCTTCATCAGCACATACTTAAATCAAATAAAGCCACAAGAATACATAGAATCACGTAACTGGCTAATCCCGAAACAGCCACGTTGATATCTTGCCAGTGAAATGCAGAGACACGTACAGGCCAAGATTAAACAGCTCGGAAATGCCAAGGGCCGTAACTCTAGAATTTTATTTGAAATTGTTATGACAGCTGGTGTATGGATGGGCATGAGGATGGCGACAACGATAATAATAACGGTGGTGCTTGTCATGGCCATTATCAAGTCGGCTAGCACTTTAGACATTTGTGTCGTGCTATGCTGTCCAGTCGTGTCAGTATCATGGAAGGTATTCAGTCCAGCTCTAACACCCCAGATCTCTAGCAGCAACGCTCATCTGGAGATTTATCTTTAGGCGTCCTCGTTTCCCAAAAATGTTTCCAATTTCAAAGCCTGTTTGCCGATTATCGGTCCAGCCAGCTTTCCCGTAAATTACGATTACGAATGACATAATGTCTGATACCTCATGTGGGTTCCCTGGCGTCATAGTAAGGAAAACAAGAATAGACCTACTGTCTCCCCACCAACCATGTCGTAAGAATCGACTAATTAGGGATTCCTTCAAAGTCAGAGTAATCTGGTAATCTGGTAATCTGGTAATCCTAGTTTCAGCTTCATAGCAAACGGGTCACCCCACATATGCTCCGCTCCTGTGCCAACGAAAAACAAACGCAACTCACAGTGTCACGCCATGCACTCAACTCAGAAGCTAGGCGACGAAACTACATCCTTCCAGTCTACAAATGGAGCAAAAATGCAACGGCCACCGTCTGGCCAAAAAAAAAAGAAAAAAAAAAATATTTGCCACGGCTTTTAAAAAAAAAAAAGGTGGCCGTACCTAGCGTCCATTTTGACCGGAAGAATTATATGAGGGTTAATAAATGGTCACCCCAGCAGTACCCTCATTATTAGCCGGGAAAAAGGACTTAGGACATTACATCCACCAGCAGGCGTCGCCCCTACAACGACCTGCCTGCCATCGTTAACGACTGTTCACCCAACAGCCATGCAGTTCTTTGGCACAAAGGAGACACCTTGAACTTGGGTTTCGTACTGCCGACTCCCTACTAAGATGTTATTTTATGTTCTGTTATCACAATTAATGTCACTGCACATTGGGCATACCCATGCGTGCTCAGTTCTCCGAAGCAGCAGCCACTCTAAAGTACTTCTACTAATTGTCCCCATGAGAAGCTGGTTATATTGTCTCCTTTCTCGGCCTCGAAGACGGCAAAGACGTGCATCACCATGCTTAACTCCCATGTCACGCAATCGTGTTAGTGTCAGGGATTCCTCATTCTCCACTAGCCCAGTTCGTACAGCGTTGTCGATATCTACTCTTTCCATGCTTTTTCCCGCAATCATTAGTGCAGTGCTTGCCAGTTGGTCTGCTCGCTCATTTCCCTTCACGCCCGCATGACCCGGTGTGTAGATCCAGGTTACGGAGGTTAAGTGCGATTTCCTGATGCTTTCTATCCATTCAGAGCGCATACTGCCTGTTGCTATCTTCTGAAGCATATTCATTGAGTCTGAGACAATTACTACCTGTGTGGCGGTTTGCTCGGATACCCATGCTAAAGCTCTAGAAGCAGCGGCTATTTCCATTGTCATGCTTGACGTGGTTGTCTGGTAAGCGCCGCTGTCCTCGTGTATTGTTTTCCCCTTTCTTTGCGCTGTGTATGCCCATGCTGACCTTGATCCGCGCTTCACGGATCCATCTGTGTAGATGATGGTATCTTCTGGGTCTGAATGCTGATCTATCAGTTCCCTTACTTCTGTGTCTACCGCCGCAGGAATTTGATCCCTGCAGTACCTTCCGAGTGTGATGACAACCTTAGAGATGCCATGCATGTCTACTGGTGTATTCGTCCATTCTTTTCCGTGGCTGATCACGTCTAGGTCACATACCTGCTGGATTAAGTCCTCAGCCTTTGCCATCCAAGAGCGGCCCCTTTTTAGACGCGTTCCTTTTGTGTCGTGAATAGCTTTGTGTAATGTGTGGTTAACATCTGCCGATACCCTCATGTAAGCCTTGACCTGTGCCACTTTTTATCTGCTTGTCATAGTCGGCAGACCCAGGATATAACGCATGGCGTTGCAGGAGGTGTCTTTTGTGCAGCCGAGTATGAGTCTCATGGCCTCATTCTGTACTCGGTCCAGTCTTTCTAGCTGGGTTTTGCTGACAGTGAGAGAGGCCAAGACCATAGTCAATGACGCTAAGCACAAGCCCTTGATAGAGAAGGAAAAGTAGACGTTGTTCAATATCAGCTGCTGCTAGCACCTTGAGTGCTGTCAAACCTTTCCTGGCTCTAAGTCAGAGTGCGTCTACCTGAGAGGCAAGGAACCAACAGTCTGCATACAAATAAGTCAGACCTGAAAACGGATGTGCAAGCAACACTCGGATTCTGGATCAAGACTAAAGTCCAGAGGCGGATGAACAACCAGAACTTTCTGCCGGAGTTTACAGCCAGTGAACGCGAAGAAGAAGAAAGAAGAAGAAGAAGTTAGATTAAAAAGACGAAAAAGACAAATGCCGTTTATCAGCATGGGAAGATAACTACCAAAGACCGTATGTAGAGATGTCTTGTTTCATAATGGGATTTAGGAAAATAAACATTGTAGGAAAATCTTCTGGGTGAATCTGACAAAATTAAATTCAGCGATACTTCAAAAAATCTGTAGGTCAACTGTAGGTGGGAATATAATTGTTTTAGTTATGTGTCCTTTTAAACTTGAAGTAGGTAAGCCGATCGTCTCCTTTACTGAGAAACGTTCGTCGGTAGCGGAAGTGACCTGGTTGTCACCCAAAACATTTTTTGAAAACTTAGACTTAACTAGTGTATGCCTTTTAGAAAGTTTGCTAAATAAATCTAAGAATAAGAACATTTATTTGGGCTATCCTCCGAATAACGGTCCCAAATTATTCTTTGTCATTATAATTAGAAACAGTCTTATTTCAACTTTCTCTGAAACCCCTGCCTTAGTCTATAAATTGATTATTGAGCACAAGATGAGCTCTGAGTTGAAAAAAGGAGGGCTCTCCTCCGAACTTCTACCCCCGCATTATGGCGGCCTGAAATATCCGTTCAGAGCTCAGTCCAATGAAAAATTCGGACTTTCTGCCAAGGAACAAATCGAGGCAAAACAAGGATTACTTGACAATTTCAAGAGACGAAACATTGCAGACGATAGTAGCAGACGATAAAAGCGACCAGTGACAATGTCGAGCGTTTCTGCAGACGATACTAGTAGACGATAAAAGCGACCGCTGACAATTTTGAGACATTACAGACGATGAAAGCGATATGGCTGGTAGACCACGTGCTCCCACGCAGATTAGCAATACTATTCTTCCGATTGAGGATTTAGCAGTGGTAGATGTCAGACTTGTTGGCATGCGCAAAACGCGATTAAACTCACCGCCGAGCATATCCCCCGTGCCGCTACGTGCGGCGCAGATGGGGGTGCTAAACTAGGTGCCTGGGACTCACTAGCAAAGTAATTGGAGGAAGTTGCAGGAGATGTGGTAGCTGCTGGTCGTGTGTCCCAGCCATCTAGTTTAGCCCCTATCCGTGCCGCACATAGCGGCGCAGGGGATATAGTTGGTGGTGTGGCATAGTTACAGAAACAGGTCCGCAAGTAACATATTGCTGAGACCCTGTTAAAGCATTTGTTTCATTTTTCCGAGCTGATCCTAGATTTGCCGCGATTTGTTCATCAGCAGAAAGTCCAACAAGTCCCCATTTTACATATTTGTTCCTGGGCAGAAAGTCCGACAATGGAAAGTGTCAACGGTCGCTATTATCGTCTGCTACTATCGTCTGCAGTGTTGCGTCTCTTAGAATTGTCAGGTAATCAGAAACAATAAGAAACAGGTCCGCAAGTAACATATCGCTGAAACCCTGTTAGAGCATTTGTTTCGTTATACGGAGCCGGCATATTTTTAATAGAACTAAGCCCCGAACGGATATTTCAGGCCACCATAATGCGGGGGTAGAAGTTCAGAGGAGAGCCAAAAGGAGAAAAATGGGAGTGAGAAAATGAATTAGCCAGCCAATTTGTCAAGCTGTTTGCCTTGCACTGGCAATGTTGAAGAGTTATTTTCTGGATGTTTTGTTCAGCTCATGAGTTCTGTAAAGTTGAGCTGATACTGGGCTCAACCAAAAAATCATCATGTCTTGCTGATGTAAGAAAAAAATAAGATGCTGGTACTCACGGCCTTGTATTTTTAAAAGGTGCTCCTACTCAGCAGACAGTATCTGTTACAGTAGTGAAAAAATATGGTGCCAGTGCTTAACCTCACTTTTGAGTATTAAGCTCCCCTGTGTGGGTTCTGGGACCCCATTGTGGGGAAAACAAGAATAGACCCACTGCCTGCACAGTGTCATATGAGTCAACTAATTAAGAGCTCTGAAGTCGCAGCGCATCTGCCTGAGAGGCAAGGAACCAGCAGACTGCATAAATTAATATGATCTGTTAAACAAATCGGCACGCAACACTCAGGTTCTGGAACAAGACTAAAGTTCAGAGGTGGGTGAAAAACTAGAACTTTCTGCCAGAGTTTACAGCCAGTGAATGCGAAGAAGAAGAGTATTGAGCTAACTGTATTTAATGCTTTGGAATTATATGCACCTCTCTTATGACATAATAATAATTATTTTGAATTTTTCATTTCAGGTTGAATGACTAAACCGCCTGATTGAGACTAGTTTTAATATGGCAACAATACTGTACATCAGCTGCTAAGCAAAACTGAGAACTTAGATTTGTGCTCTGAGTGCAGTCGGCTCTGCTCTCAGTATTAGCAAGAGACAGAAACAAGATGGAGCTGTGGAAGATTGCGATGCTTTCTAAGTTCGGCAAGAAGGCGAAGAAGAAATGGTCATCTGCAGCAGTGGATTTCCAGATGGTTGACCTGGGTATAAAACCTGTGTGTCTCTTTGACCACTGGTCAGTGACAGCAGAGGACATGCAGGATTTCACGCTAGACCTTCACAAACATGGCTTGACCAGGAGTAAAGTCAATGTCATCAGCATTGGCCAGGATGTTGTGGTCTACAGTATATCGCACGGCAAGCTGTTGCTGGCAGCCAGTTTGGACAGCCGATGTTACATCGATATTTCTGCTTCACTGCTGAGCCCTGATTTGGCTAATAATGAGGGATTGGCTTACACTGTTGACGTTTTTTCTAATCTGTGTAGAAATATCCACAGTATTTGTGAACGTCAGGATTCTGAAAGCGTCCATGACGTTGGCATCACTGATATTTTAAATGGCTGTTGTTTGTTTGGGCTGTTGTTAGGCTACCCATGTGTTTACTGGTTTGACCTTTCTGAAGGAGATGACCATTGTTTGTCGACACAGTCCTTACGCTTGTTTAAGGTCATAGGTCATAAGCTGACTCCTGCAATAGATAAAAAACCAGATTATACTGAACAAGTACAAGGGCCTGGGAATTTGAATAGTAGCTCAGTTGCACCTCAGAAAACAACCGTACAGTCGCGGCCATCAGACAAAACTCATGTAATATTTTCGTTCACAGTTCCAGTTAATATTCTAGCCCAGGTGGAGGGTCATATTCGTTGTTGGTTTGTTCTATGGAGGGACTCTGTTCAGTGGTTTCCTTTTTTCTCTGAGGTGTGGCTTGAGGAAGAGACAGTCAGCCCACAGTCTGTTTGCCTCTAGCAGTGGCTTTCTTCAGTGCTTTATTAATATCCTACCCCAGACGAGGAATCCACAGGTCACGGGACAGTCTAATATTTCAGGGGGGTGGTAGATAAGCTGCATGCATTTGTGGGACGTAGGTGGGTTGGGGTTAGGGCCAGTTTTAGTCGTTTTGGGGTCATTAACAGGATCAGAAAGCAGGGAAACCCAGTCTTACCACCCTCTAAAATGTTGAACTGTCCTGTGACGTCATCTGGGGTAGGATATTAATAAAGAACCCTTTGTTCATCTTCCTAGCAATTGCCGACGGAAAGTTCTGGTTGATCATCCACTCCTGGACTTTGGTCTTGATTCAGAACAGGAGTTTTGTGTAGATGTCCATTTTACAGATCTGGCTCACATGTGTGCAGATTGTTGGTTACTAGCCTCTCAGGTGATGCACTACGACTTTGAAGAAAACACCCATAATTGGTTGCCTCTTATGACATGCTTGTTGAGAAGGCAGTATGTCTGTTCTTTGTTTCACAAAATGGAGCTCTGGAGCCCATATAGGAAGCATTGATTATAAATATTTTCAGATTTCCTGGGTGGGTTCCGGGGCCCTCATTATGGGGAAAACAAGAAGAGACCAACTGCTTTCTCAGTAAGCCTGTTGAAGGAGTCGACTAATTGGGGACTTCCTTTGAAGTCAGAGTGCATCTGCCAGAGCGGCAAGGAACAACCAACTGCACACACAAAAGCCAGTATAACAGATGTACGCGCAAAACTCAAAGTATAACTGCAAATTATAACAGCCTTCGATTCCTACCATGTTTGTTAATTACCTTTGGCCCAAAGCCAAAGTATAAATGGACAGACAAGCAGAATTTTTCACAGAACCCTACAGCCAGTTAACAAAGAAGAAGAAGAAGAAATGTTTTCATTTGCTCACACTCTCTGTAAAGGTTCCTTGGCAAGTTTGCTAACTTAACAACTAGTTCAGTTATATTTGTCATTTTTTTTTTAAAAGTTGCAGTTTTTAATTTCATAAATTGAATAAAGGCATATGACCATTTTGGACAAATTGTTGTGATTCATCTAAAGCTGTATGTAAGATGGCCTGATGGCCTTTGTGATATGATAGTTGTAATAAGGGATGAGATTGGAGAGGAAGTGTTTCCACTGCGGGACGTTGATTTAGAAGTGGAAATAGTACAACAGCCAGGTGATGAAGAAGCTGAGTCAGGCGTAGAATTAAATGAGGAAGTAGGTGAAGAAGAGAGAGGAAGGGTAGAACAATGACATGCAACAGCATTTCGAAGACTCTGTTTCAGTCTGGCACTTTTTAATTTCCACAAATTATAACAGCCTTTGATTCCTACCATGTACCTGTTTGATTACTAACGAAACAGCAGATAAACTTGCTAAGAAAGGGGCAGAATGTGACCAGGAAGAGAATGCAGTAACATACTATGAGAAGAAAAGGGCCATCCAGGCTACTAGAAGTGAACAGAGTCTGGCCAGAGATGACTACCATTTACTTTACCGGCATGGGCAGGTCATTGTCCTACGTCTCAGGACAGGACATAACAAACTTAACCAGCATATGCACAGGCTGCATCTAAGTAGTTCACCTGTGTGCCCTTGTGGGCTATTTGTGCAGACTACAGAACATGTCCTGCAAGACTGTCCCTTGTTCATCCCATTAAGAAGGGAAAACTGGCCCAGTGAGTCACCACTGCACACAAAGTTGTATGGGACTAAAAAGGAACTCATAAAAACAGTCAAGTTTATCACAAGAACCTGTCTGTCAGTGTAAATCGGAAAACGAACACAAGAAGAAGAAGAAGATTACCACCAACGGTTCTGTGACCATTTTATCCCCACAGTATGTTCTATGGCTGCTTGATTTCAAGATGTTAGGTGACTCCGTGATTTATCAGTAATACAGAAATCGAAGATACCAGAAGAAAAAATACTTAGGAAATGAAAAAGATCCTGGACTCGGAAGTTTACAGACCAATCAATACTGGATACGTATTCAGATCTTACCGACCATCTTTATTTCCCAGGACATTACTTAGTAACCATTTTTAGTTGGGTCGACCTGGGAGCAAGGGTGGATTTTGAAACTAATCAACTTTAATGCAGATTTGAACTCAAAACCTTTTGTTACGGCTCACATAGCAGACAAGAACATCTACAGTGAAAACATTGATAGATGTTGAATTCTCAGGTTATAACAAAAATGTATATATGTTTTATTTGTAAAATAAAAATAATTATGAAATAATGTACAACAGAATAAAAAAAGTAGCACAGTTCATAAATAAAATGATTGACAATTTGTATTTTGTTGTTGTTACAGTTATATTTTTTTTGCTGTATTATTTAGTAGCTGGACTTCACACAAACCAAACTACACTCATAAACTTAATCTGCTGGGTGACAGCGAGTATAGTTTGGTTTGTGTGAAGTGCAGCAACATGACCATGTCTTTGCTGACACATTTCTGGGTGCCTAAGATGGTAGATGTTGATTCAGAAGGTGGCAGGTGTTGATTCAGAAGGTGGTAGATGTTGATTCAGAAGGTGGCAGGTGTTGATTCAGAAGGCGGTAGATGTTGATTCAGAGGGTGGTAGATGTTGATTCAGAAGGTGGCAGATGTTGATTCAGAAGGTGGTAGATGTTGATTCAGAGGGTGGTAGATGTTGATTCAGAAGGTGGCAGGTGTTGATTCAGAAGGTGGTAGATGTTGATTCAGAAGGTGGCAGGTGTTGGTTCAGAAGGTGGCAGATGTTGATTCAGAAGGTGGCAGGTGTTGATTCAGAAGGTGGTAGATGTTGATTCAGAAGGTGGTACATGTTGATTCAGAAGGTGGTAGATGTTGATTCAGAAGGTGGCAGGTGTTGATTCAGAAGGTGGTAGATGTTGATTCAGAAGGTGGTAGGTGTTGATTCAGAAGGTGGTAGGTGTTGATTCAGAAGGTGGTAGATGTTGATTCAGAGGGTGGAAGATGTTGATTCAGAAGGTGGAAGATGTTGATTCAGAAGGTGGTAGATGTTGATTCAGAGGGTGGTAGATGTTGATTCAGAAGGTGGTAGATGTTGATTCAGAGGGTGGCAGATGTTGATTCAGAGGGTGGCAGATGTTGATTCAGAAGGTGGCAGGTGTTGATTCAGAAGGTGGTAGATGTTGATTCAGAGGGTGGTAGATGTTGATTCAGAGGGTGGTAGATGTTGATTCAGAAGGTGGTACATGTTGATTCAGAAGGTGGTAGATGTTGATTCAGAAGGTGGTAGATGTTGATTCAGAAGGTGGTAGATGTTGATTCAGAAGGTGGTAGATGTTGATTCAGAAGGTGGTAGATGTTGATTCAGAAGGTGGTACATGTTGATTCAGAAGGTGGTACATGTTGATTCAGAGGGTGGTAGATGTTGATTCAGAAGGTGGTACATGTTGATTCAGAAGGTGGTACATGTTGATTCAGAAGGTGGTACATGTTGATTCAGAAGGTGGTACATGTTGATTCAGAAGGTGGTAGATGTTTATTCAGAAGGTGGTTAATGTTGATTAAGAGGGTTTAGGTGTTGATTCAGGTAGATGTTGATTCAGAAGGTGGTACATGTTGATTCAGAAGGTGGTAGATGTTGATTCAGAAGGTGGTTAATGTTGATTAAGAGGGTTTAGGTGTTGATTCAGGTAGATGTTGATTCAGAAGGTGGTATATGTTGATTCAGAAGGTGGTAGATGTTGATTCAGAAGGTGGTAGATGTTGATTCAGAAGGTGGCAGATGTTGATTCAGAAGGTGGTACATGTTGATTCCGAAGGTGGCAGATGTTGATTCAGAAGGTGGTAGATGTTGATTCAGAAGGTGGCAGGTGTTGATTCAGAAGGTGGTAGATGTTGACTCAAAAGGTGGTACATGTTGATTCCGAAGGTGGCAGATGTTGATTCAGAGGGTGGTAGATGTTGATTCAGAAGGTGGGAGATGTTGATTCAGAAGATGGTAGATGTTGATTCAGAAGATGGTACATGTTGATTTTGAAGGTGGCAGATGTTGATTCAGAAGGTGGTAGATGTTGATTCAGAAGGTGGTTAATGTTGATTAAGAGGGTTTAGGTGTTGATTCAGGTAGATGTTGATTCAGAAGGTGGTAGATGTTGATTCAGAAGGTGGTTAATGTTGATTAAGAGGGTTTGGGTGTTGATTCAGATAGATGTTGATTCAGAAGGTGGTAGGTGTTGATTCAGAAGGTGGCAGGTGTTGATTCAGAAATTGGTACATGTTGATTCAGAAGGTGGTACATGTTGATTTTGAAGGTGGCAGATGTTGATTCAGGAGGTGGTAGACGTTGATTCAGAGGGTGGTACATGTTGATTCAGGAGGTGGTAGATGTTGAATCAGAAGGTGGTTAATGTTGATTAAGAGGGTTTAGGTGTTGATTCAGGTAGATGCTGATTCGGAAGGTGGTAAATGTTGATTTAGAAGGTGGTGCATTATACAGTATTGCATGTGCAGCTGCTGCTTCCATTGCCAGTTAACTGCAATTCTGGTGGCAAACTGTGTTGGCTTCTGATGGGAGCCTTACGTACTTAATGTATGTATATGTATTACTAGCTTTGCAAAGATAGCATTCTAAATTTTTCACCAAGGACAGTGACGGGCATTTTATGTGCCTTTTGCCGGCATAGAAATTCAGCAGTTTTCTGATGCCTGTTGAATCATAGAACCATTACTGTAGAGGAGTCTCTTTGAGTGGCAGACTGTTTGTGTTGGCTTCTGATGGGTGCCTTATGCCATTAATGCATGCATATACTGTTGGTTTGCAAAGACAACATTCTAAATTTTTTCACAAGGGACTTCTTTTTCTTCTTCGCGTTCATCAGCTGTAAACTCGTTGTTCATCCATTTGGACTGCAGTCCTGTTCCAGAACCTGAGTGTTGCATGTGCATCTGTTTTACAGATCTGGCTCCTTTGTATGCTGGTTCCTTGCCTCTCAGGCAGATGCACTCTGTCTTTAAAGGAAGCTCCCAGTGA